CCCCGCCCCGCCCCGCCCCGCCCCGCCGCCGCCGCTCTCCAGCTAGCGCGCAGGAGGCTGACTGGGTGGGCTGGGGAATCTGAAAGCAAACATGGCGGCCGTGACGGTGGTTGTTGCGCTAGCAGCGGCCGATACGGAGGGAGGCGGCGCAGCAGCAGCAGCAGCCGCCGCCACCGCCGGAGCTGGCCTGAGGAGCGCGTCCGAGTGAGCGGCGCGGCGGGCGGGCCCAGCTGCCTCTTCCCTCCCTTCGCCCCAGCCTGTCCTGCAGTGGCCGAGATGGAGGCGGTGGTGGGGGCCGGGGAGGAGGGCGAGGAGCCTCCCAAAGAGGTCCGGATTCTGGGTTCGGAGCCGGTGGAGAACTACACGGTGAGAAAACTGGCCTCGGGGGAGGGGAGAGCCTTCCACTTCCCGCGTAGGCTTTGGCTTAGTCTGGGCGTCGTGTCAGCATCCCGGGGGGTCGTCTTAAGTGATCGAGGTCCGGTAGCCAAATCAGATTAGGGCCGGCCAGGAGCTTTGGAACGCTTCGCCCAGCCGGGTTCCGCGGAGCTTTCCCGCAGACTGCACGTTCACAGCCGAGTGCCAATATACCCTAAAGGGCGAAAATATATGTTTCTAAGGCGGGGGAGGCGATGGTGTGGTCCAGATACTCTCCTGTGCATTGGACATTTCACAGCCCCCAAACTAGAGGTCGCTTCGTGCTGCTGCTGACTTGAACAGTGGCTTTCTATGCCGTCCTCTTGCTCCCTAATAAAGCGTTTCCTTCGCAAAACAGCCTTTGGAATCGGATAGCGAATACAGACGTACTTGAAGTGTTTTGGTTTCTGCGTTGCTGACCCGCAGACTGGCTCTAATTAAAATATATGCGACTTGCACATCTGTTGACACCTCTCAAATGCTCAGCCTCCTTTAAACTATAGTGGTGTGGAGGAAAACAAGATCTTAGTTTGCTTAGCAAGGTTTATAGCAATGCTTCTCTTGTGGCTGCCTCGCTCTGTATTATGTTTAGAGCTATATATATATTGTATTTAATGGTAGCACAATAGAAGCAAGCATACCCACGGTCTTCCTGTTTAAATACTGTATTTCCAGCAACTGTTACATAACTGAAAATGGTTGCACCAACCGCTGTCTTCTAATGATTTTTGGTGAGGAATACCCATGATGGAGTGAGCTCCCGTCTCTAGTTCCAGCTCCTGCCAACCTAGCAGTTCAAAAGCAAGAAATTGTTTAGTCATGCCGGCCACATGACAACAGAACGTCTTTGGACAGCGCTGGCTCTTCGGCTTTGAAACGGAGATGAGCACCGCAACCCTAGAGTCGGACTCGACTGGCTTTTGAGCAAGGGAACCTTTACCTTTACTTTTTACCTATGTCTAGTCCTGTTCCTACTTGGAATTTCTGCAGTATGAAATGACAAAAATTGACACTATGCCATTTTAAAAGTAGTACTTATTCAGTCCTTAAGGCTCTGCTTACAAACAGGTCTCACTGAATCACAGTTTTATTTCTTCAAATTTTTTATATAACGCTCAGCCTTACATGTAGATGGAATTCTTGGAGAGGTAGGTATCCATTGTGAGGATTTTGAAAAGACATTTTCCCCCCTTACCTGATTTGGCTACAGTGTGTGTGTGGGGGGGGGGAGTGAATTCTCTGACTGGAACAGATTTTGAGAGTTCTTAAGCCCAGGTTCTGTGTTCATAGGACATTATGAAATTACAAGGCATGATCGAGGTAGATTTGTGCACTCTTAAGTCCCTAACAGTGCAGTCCTATGGAGAGTTATTCCAGTCTAAATTGATACTTAAACGGGTTTAGATCAGAGTAACTGCTCGGGATTGCATTGTTAGCGTTCAGTGAAATAGGCACATGCTTAAGACCTCTCCCACTGAAATCGGTGGTGTCAAAAAGTGTTTGTTTGTTGGTTTGGTCACCAAGTTGGCTTGTTACCAAGTAGTTTATCCTGCACTTCCTACAATGAGCTCAGGATGGTGAACATATGATGCTCTTCCATTTCCATTTCTGCCTGGGAATTAAGATCACAGAGAGGGGCCCTCCTGACTCCCATGAATCAAAGAAGCTCATCTGGTGGGTGCATAAGAGAAGGCCTTTTTGGCGACAGCCCCACGATTATGGAACAGCCTCCCCAGTGATGTGTGGCTGGCCCCCTCAGTTTTGATCTTCAGGAGCTAGTTGAAGACAGTTTTATATAGAACTGCATTTGAATGATTTAGTTTTTATTTATGGGCAGTCCTAATTGAGATTTTGAATTGTGCTCTTTTATTTTTTTTAATAATAGTTGTATTTACATTGTAAGCTGCCTTGAGTTCCACAAGGTAGAAAGGTGGCTAATAAAATGTTTTAAATAAACAAATGTCATCTTCAAGCAGCCTTGTGAAGTAGATTGGGCTGATGGAAGTAACTGAGTGGAAGTGGTCCAGTAAGCATAATGGCCAAGTGGGGACTTGGTCTTCCTGTAGCCCTACCTGGATACCGTAGCTATTCTCTGATGAAAGTGTCCCCATAAAGCCACTATAGCAGGCTCATGGGAATAAGAAGCAAATCATCAGTTATGAGTTAATAATAAAAAGAAGGTTGACAATTGTATATATGACATCCCAGTAATTATCTTGGAAGATGAACAGTGATGCATATAATGCCCAACGCATCTGCTAATCTGTATGCCTTCTCTTTCCTGAACAATGTCTCTAGTGCATGTGGGAGAGGTTCTTCCAGAAAACTCTAATGGAAGTAAAGATGATAGGCTCTGAGGAACATTCAGTCTTTCATATGGGATTCTCCCCCAGTGCCTTTTCCCAGGGAACTATACAAAGGAATAGCACTATTTTCCCTTGTTTTAGGAGGAAGTACATTTTATCATGTAAGAATTTTTTATGCCTCCCCCTTCATTTTGGATGTATTTGCAAGCTTTCCAGCCAGCCAACCAATCAACTTCGAAAAAGGGGACAAAGTCTACTACTCTTAACGAGGCAGGAAGAAAAAGTTCTACAGCAAATATAAATACTATAGAGGTGAGCAATCACCAATGCAGCTAGGTCAAACAAGTGAGTGACCGTGCATCTCACTCTTCAGATTTGTATTCAACCAGGATAGCTAAAACCTTACTTATGTACTACCTACCTGGTAGCAGCTTACCTTTAAGATAATATACTGCCATTTAAAGAATACTTCTGCTTTTATGTTGCAGTGTACAGAACAATTGTGGAAAACAAACAAGGGGTTTGATGCTGCCAAAATTAAGTGCTTTGGAGTCTCAATTATTTTCATGTGAGAGTTTCAAGAACTTGTTTCTCTCTTCCATTTAAATTAATCAGAAGTGCTTCCTTTGGCTGTATTATGGCCATGACTAGCTGGTATATGCATATTTCTTTAAAAGTAATTTTCATATAATAATATGAAAATTTATTTTATAAGGTATGCATTTTTAAACATATGTATTTATTGCCTTTTTGGATTCTGCCCTGTTGACTGCTGCAAGATTTGAACATGCTACCTTTGTATCAGTTTGAATAATAACCATGTTCTTATGTAATTGCAGTGTTTCCTGTTAGGACCAGTCAGTAAGAACTAAGTGGAGGCGAGATATGACTACTCTGGTGATGCTTAGAAACATCAAAGTTTCAAAAGAGTCGAGTGGTACAAACTGGTTATAAAATCCTATTTCTATGTATGTAAATATACATAAATTATTCCTGTGATTGAAGAATCGCAATCCAAACTATGCATGGGAAAGAACGGAGTGCACAACCTGAAGATTCTTTAAAAAAAAATTAATTTTATTATAGGTAATAAACCTGAGGATTCTTTGAAGTCTTTTTTGCAGCACTCTTTGATGCCACTGTTCAGATTGCAAAACAGCTTGCTGCTTTGACAATCAGAGCTGCTGCCTGAAATCTTCAAAGAAACTTGAAGCTGCAGATAACCAGTGTTCATAGCCAGTGTTTTTAGTGTCACGTCATTGATACTGTTGTTTAGAAATAGGCAGAGAGAAGAATGGATTTGGGGTGGGAATAAGCATGGACATTGGCATCTAGAAATGAAATGCATTCATTACGGATTGTATGAGTTCTCCATATCATATAATTGTGGAAGTTAAAAGTGTCTTCTATGATATTTTAAAGTCATATTCCACTGTGTTTAAAATAAAGACTTAGAGGTAGGAAGGTAACAAATCATTTTCCTCATGAATGTCGATACATTGCCAATAGTGATCTTTCATACTATTGAAGTCACATGTGAATTTTTTCTGTAGTACAGAGTGACACCAGTATGGAAATAAATGCAGTAATTTGTCTGTTTGATAAAATACATAGCTCATTAAGAAAAATATTTTCCAATTCAGCAATATGCTACTATAATGTTTGATGGTGCCTCATCCTGGATACTTTAGAAGTATTTTAATATAAGTGTTATGGCAGTAATAAAAAAAATTCTGTGTCAGTGTTTAATGCTTTGGAATTAAATGGATGATGGATGCCTTCTGTATATATTCTTGTCTCTGCTTGAGCTCAGTGGTGCTGGAGGCAGCAACCACTATTTATCAAATGACACCTTGAACCCTGCAGTCTTGGACTTGCATTTCTCAAGAAGCAGCCCTACCTTGCTTGTAACAAAACATTTTTCGAAATCCCCTGCTAACCCAGAACTGGAAGTTATGTTCTGAAGCTTGAGCTTTCAGTGCTTTCTAAAAGCATTTGCCAGGCTCCAGGAAAGGGGTTGGTGGCAATGTTCCCTCTAAGCTGTGGAGTCTTGTGAGCAAAAGTTCTACTTTGTGAGCTACTGGCATTAAAGTTGTGAGTGAGCGATTTGGCTACTGCATAAATTAGTTCGCTCTGGAGCCTTCCTTCCTGAGCTAAGACAAAAATGTGTGAGCCGGAGGCTAAACAATTGTGAGCTAGCTCACACTAACTCAGCTTAGAGGGAACACTGGTTGGTGGGTGCCATGCTGCCCATGGGCACCATGTTGGGGACCCCTGATTTATAATATTTCTGTGCCACCTCTTGAGAGTCCTGCTTGAGGTGGTTTACAATTAAAATCACCACAATATTAACAACAAGCTGTTGGACATCAGCAGTTTAAAAAGCATCCATAAAACAGAAGCAGACCATTAAAACGCTGCTAAGTTAAAACTCCTAATTAAAAGCCTGGATAAAAAAGATGGGTTTTGGCCTGACATCTAAAAGAAAGTAAAGTAGGTGCCAGGTGAGCCTCAAGGGAAAGGGGTAAGGTAAGGTGCCACCACAAACGTACCTTGTGTCTAGTCTTCACCTGCCTCACCACTGAAGGCCAGGGCACAGAGGGGCGGGGCTTGAGAAGCAGATCTTAACCGGCAAGCTGGACAGTATGGAAGGAGACATTCCTTCAGGTACCTGGTCCCAATCTGTTGAGGGCCTTAAAGGTAAGAACCAACACTTTAAATTGTGCTGGTAACAGATGGGTAGCCAGTGCACATCTTTCCGTGCAGGGGTGATACAATCCCTGTAACCAGCCTCTGACAGTAGTAGCCTGGCAGCAGCATTGTGGACCAGTTGCTGAACCATTTTCAACCTGCAAATAACAAATGTATATAGCCAAAATAAAGATCAAACAAATAATTATATTTGTGTCTCTTTATTTTCAAAGGCAGCCCCACATGGAGTACATTACAGTAATTTCATTTGTGTGTGATCAAAGCATGGATCACTGTGGCCAGATTATGCTTTTCGAGGAGTGGCTGCAGCTAGCAAACCAACTGGAGCCGATTAAAGGTGGTACATGTCTCAGAGGAGACTTGAGCCTCCAACCATAGTACCCCCAAGCCATAAGTCACATGTTATCCATAACAAGCTTATATATTTTTAGGGGCAAGGTATATGTGAGGGTGAATTCTTTTATTAGGTAGCTGGTTTAGTTTAAGAGCAGTTAGGTTTCCTTAAGAGAAGATGGTGAGTCCTATCAATCCTCCCCCCATCCCACTATAGAACCCCCCCTTTTGTCCCTAAGCTGTTTCTGTGGGTCTGCTGACCCCAAATAACAAAATCGGGGAGGGGAGCAGTTGGCTGCAGTGGGAGGAAGCAATTGGCAGAAATGGTTGCATGCTGCCACTGTGTTCCTTTTAGTATTTTGTATGTGTGGTTGGATACAAGTCTTCTGTTCTCAATGCATAAGTTTGTTTAAATAGCTTTTAAATACCTATAAATGCTTCACACTTTTAAATATAAGTGATTAGATAATTTTGAGAATAAGGCAAGTACTATAAAGACATTAGGATGATTCTTGTTAATATGATTCTCAAGAAACATCCTAATCTTTCTATACCTGCAGTGCTGTGAAGTATGCCCTTTATCTGTTGGAATTATCTAGTACAACTAAAACTTCTACAGAGTGATGGCTTATGAGAACAACACTAATATAACAGTCTCACCACTGTTACATAAAACATTATTATAAATTTTTATTGTTCCATGCATAAGCTTTTGATCTGACAGTAATTAAACACTGTCCTGTGTTATAGGAACCTCTATTCCATTGACATATTCAGCAAAAAATAGTAAAATAAACAGCCCTTTTGTATAAATGTGGTAAAGTCAGAGACATACTAAATCCTGCATGCTGTTTCTAAATCCATGAAAGGAGTGGTGTTTTTGGTTTGTTTGTTTTTAGATCACTGTGTCAGTGTTGTGAGCACTCACATGAAGGGAATGCCAGGCATTGATCTCTACATGCTTTAAGAATTAATAACTCACAACCCACTTCTTAATAATGTAGCGTTTTATTAATATGTTGTAATTGAAATGTATGTGCTAAGAACATACCAAGGCATCTTCAAATGCCATTCATTTTTTAAAAAGATTTTTTAATTGCATTTTCTAAACTAAACCTCTATGGGGTCGGGGGAAGGGAACAACCTAAAACTACAAGTAACAAGAGATCATTAATACATATTTTGAATTAATC